TTGAAGACGTATGCACATTTCGCCCATTAAGAATTATTGCATTTTAAAAGGTACCCTATAGGACGGAACAACTCTCTGGTAAAGTAAAGCCAGTAAAGGAAATCTGTAACACATTAATTAGTATTAATAAATTATGAAGAATGAAAAAAATGGTCAATTAAAGCTGTTGTTTTTTTATTTTTCACTGTCTATTTTTAACTGTTTGCAGTGGTCCAAAGTTATTCATTTACTGTATGCATACCGATCACCTTAATTATTCACCACAGTGAGTTTATAAGCACTTCTCACAACTTTCAGAGACCAAAGCGGAGTTTGCTGCCACAATAACGCAACAACTAGCATGCTAAGTACACAATTCTGGATTATCAGACAATACAAAGCTTTATACATAGATGAAGACGTCAATGACCAAAAAAAAAAAAAAAGAAACTAGGTACAGGTCCTTAAGTTTCAGGCTTATTATGTATTTAATTAATACAGTAATGTCTTAATTAAAAAGTTACTCTGCCTGAATCATTCTTAATTAACTATTGGTAAACTGTGAAAAGCAAAAAACGCTTTTGTGTTGCCAAAATTTCTAAAACGGTAGTTGTCTCAGTTTTAAATTTACTCTAGCCGACTGTTCTGTTCTATCTTGTCTTATCAGTTTTGACTGGCAGCAGTTATACCGCTGTTTTATTGCCATGAAACAGAAAATGGATATAGAAAAAAGTGTTTGAGTTAAAATAAAGTAGTAACTTGAAAATGCAGCAATTCTGTTTTTGGAAAATGGGAAATTTGGATCGGATTCTGACACTTTTTTTTTTTTTTTTCTTATCTAGGCTTACTTCTTACTTCTCTCCACAGTATTTTGGGAGAGTTTTGGTTACTGGGGACACTCCGTTAGGTTGTGTACACATTTTTTTTCTGTTAGTGTCAATGGCCTGGAAAGCTGTGGGACCTGTGCAAGCTTTGAATGAGGGGAGAAAATCGTTCTGCTAAAGACTCTGATAGACCCCTCCAATCCTGCTCCTCTTATCTCCGCACAGCTACAGCCAGGCGCACGGACAGGGACCATCGGACATACTTTTTAACGCACACACACACATACACAGACACACACACGGACACACACTTGCACTCGGGGTCATCCATCACCATGACGACCCTCTGTACTGCTTTCTGATTGGATGCCAGCTTGGTCCAGTGCGGTGACCTGAGGACCTATTGATTTTGGCAGGTCTGTGTGGTCACGCTAAGGGTATGGGTGTTTGCAGTTCAGTGCCCTATCAGCCCCACACAGTGAGTGGGTTCAGCTTATACATCAGTGGACCATGCACCAACAGCCAGTGGGAGGAGTTTAATACTCAACAGAAGAACATAACTGACATCCTGGCTTTGTAGTCTTAGCAAAAATATATAGAAAATAGGTCTATGTGTTGGATACAAGTGGGTGACAGCCTGGACAAAATGGCAAAATTAGTCGGGGAAAAAATGAGTTACAATATTTTTCAGACTATAAGGCACAATAATGTTGAATTCTTTGGTCTATTTTCATACATACGGTGCACCAAATTATAAGGTGCAACAAGCGAAACAAACGGACGACATTTGAGACTGATCCTTTAGCCCAGGCAACCACAATCCATTGGCAGATCGTTGTGTAATTCGCCCGGCATTGCCTCTCTGTCTTGGTGAATGTGTATGGATCATTTAAGTTTGTTTTTTTTTATTTCCTAGGAGAAGAGGAGAGGAGAACTCAAATATACATTGAGTAATAATGTGTTTAATGCAGCTTTGCGCACATTTGTTTACGTTTTACAGAAACAGAAGCACATGATTCATTTGCATAAACTTTTAGCACTGAAAAAGCAGCTCATTCCTTGTGCGCTGATGTGGTCAACTTCTGTCGGACTAAAAGAAGACACGACTCATTGGAATATGTGTGTTCTTTCTGTGACGAAGGCGATGGCGGGATTGTGCATTGAGTCGACACAGAACTTTTCTTCGCCCTTTACTTCACGAGACTCCTGACAATGGTAGCCATAATGCTCCGACAACCCATCAAGCGGTGCGGCTTCATAGTTTACCAAAGTCATACTAAAATATTTTGACAGATTTTTGAACGCCGTGTACCACATAAAATTGGTTCAAGGTCAGTAAGCACGACCAGAATCAATACATAAGGCGTGCAGTTGATTTTTGAGAAAATTAAAGGATTTTAATTGTGCCTTATAGTCCTAAAAATATTATTTTGGAGCGGTATTGTGATTAAAGGTGCACTGTGTAATGCTTCTGCCACCTGCTTGTCTATGGAGATATTACTGTTTTACCTTGATTGTTCCACAGTATAGGGCCAGGTTAATGGTCAGATGTATGGAGAAGCAACCCTGCACATGGTAAGAATTCATGTTGTAAGTTGTTTTTTCTGCCATAAAGCACCTGTAATTGAATAAAAAAGAAATAACATCTCCATGGAGACAAGGCAAGTGGCAGACCACCCACCTTAAAAGAAATTTTTTTCTCTTGAAAGTCTTGCAGTGACACATAATGTATTAATATAATTTATCCTTGTAACCTCTAGGGGCAGTTTAGAGTTGCTTTGGTTGTGGTTGCGGTTGCAGAGGTGATATACCACAACTGAAGAATCTTTTGGACTAAAGGGGATCAAACATTGTACATAATACATTTGCACTTACAGTTGTAGAGTTACATTAGAAAAGCAAAAAATGTGATTGAGAATCTGATTAATACTTTTATGTCCTTTACCTTGAAGTGGCAAGTAAGTTTTTTTTTTTTTTTTTTTTTTTTTTTTCATATTTCCAATTTGACGTCTCTGCAAGTCACTTACTATACAGTTCATTGACACAGGGAGAATTAGATTTTTTCTCTATAATCATAGAAATGTCCATAATTTCCTCGTTGTCCTCCATGTCCCGGAGCGTCGGATACAGGCAAATACAGTTAACTGAAAGTAGTTAAGCTTCAGTAATGGAAAAGGTGTAGCAGTCATTGTCTAAATAAATGGATCAATCAGACTTACCAATATTAGAATCATCCAGTCGCTTCATTTGCCTACATCAAATCTTCTTTACTGCCGTCCGTGTGCTGAATTATCATTGCACAGTCATGCCATTAGAAGTGAAAAGATTGCTTTAGGGAGTGCACTTTAGATTTTAATTTGAAACATCATTCCAAAGTTTGTGAACGATTTTCAAAAGTTTCCTGTGACATTTGTAAGAGGGAAGTCATCTCAGTCTTTCGTTTGGGAGCACAGTGAACTTAAGCTAAAGGAGGGATTTTCATACTGTACGGACACTTCATTAGTCATAGCTGCTCTCATTTCTCTAGTCATTTTTTTCCCCATATTCCTATATTTTACAGTGTAATCTTGCATTAGACCTGATTTAGTTTCAGGTTAGTCATTGTTTAAGGTCAGTTTGTTTACAACATCTGGGCACCCTTCACCAGATCAGCTATAGATTTATTGTCAGTGTATAGTGCATATTTTACATTAGACAAACCTATCCAAGCAGAACATGCAATATCCACACATGAAGGCCCCGCAGGATCCTTGAATTGAACGCAAGACCTTATTGGTGTAATTCAAGAGTAGTTATTTTGACAGGGACCATCTGCAGTCTCCGAGCAGGTTCACAAACAATTAAAATACATCCAAATGTCCATCCATTTACAATCAAGCTGATCATTCTCTCATTCTTTCATTTAAAAACATCACTCTCCACATTTCCACGTTTAAAATATTCTTCTTTTTTTTCCCACAAATGTTTTTATTAAGATTTTAAATACTGAAACATAAAATGACATTATACAAAAGCATAAAATAAAATAAATACATACATTAAGTCCACCCCCACACCCAAAATTCTTTAAAATGCACAAAAAGGGCAACAAAATGTCTTTTCGTTTTCCTTTAGATGTGTAGCTCAACTTCTCCAGTGCCAGATTGTTGGACATTAATTTAATCCACTGGTTTACTCTGGGCTTCTCCATTTCTTTCTACTTGAGAGCAATAACATGTTTGGCTTGTAATAAACAAAAAATGATAAGCTTCTTTCTGTTTAAATTAACACTAATGCTGTTGGGGAAGATGTGTAGTATGAGTCTACAATCCAATGGCATCTCACATTCAATTAAATCTGAGATCACAGTACTGACGTCTTTCCAAAACAATTGGAGTTTTTCACACTGCCACTTACAAAAAAAGGGTCCCCTTTTCCCTAGTACATTTTAATCAATCATCAGGAATATTTGGATTAAAATGGTGAAGGTGTTACAGGTGTAATATAAGACATAAACAACCATTTGTACTGCAGCAGCCTGAATCTCAAATATTACCATATAAACCTACGTTGCTATTTACCACATGCAAATATAAATCAGCGGTGACAGTGCCGACTCTCTAAAAGGACTTTTCTAACATTATAAGAGAAGTCCCTGCGGTCAGAGAAGAGTTTGAGCCCGTCTGGGAGCTTGTTCCACTCTGTAATGCCCTTGTATGAGGAGGCTGTCTGTGCAAAGAGTGAGCTACATCTGGAGAGTCTGCAGTCATTGACCTGGGCCTGGATGTTCTAGTCTCTGAGCAAAACTAGAAAAATGTCTGCAGTGGTTCAGGTGCAACATTGTTTAAAATTCTATGTATTAATCACATATCCGAATGTACAATCAAGTATGAACCAAATACCATTAAAAAAGTACTAACCACTACACCGTATAATAAAATAATAATAATAAAAAACGGCATTGATTTTGACATTCATGCGTTTTAGTTTCCTGTTATATGGAACATTTTACGGTCTTTTTACCTTTCAAAAGTAATAATATAATATTTTGTTTTAAATCACCAATTGCAACTATCCAAATTTGTGGCAGATAGAGACATGCACGTCCAATAAAAGTTGTGACTGTGTGCTGGGCCCAAAGACAAAAAAAATTGCAGATAGACCCACATTGCAGTGCTTTAGAGCTTCCAAACTTTTATTTTAATGACACCACAATGTAAAAATCAGGAACACTTCATGAATTTGCATGTCATCCTAGGGGCCATGCTAATCTTCTCTGTGTCGTTCCAATGTTAGTATATGTGTCAGTGAACTGGCACACATATTTGTGAAGTGTTCCTCATTTTTACATTGTGGTGTCATTAAAATAAAAATTTGGAAGCTCCAAAGAACTGTGTGGATCTATGTTTTCTTTTATCCATCCATCTAGCCATTTTCTTCCGCTTATCTGGGGCTGGGTCGTGGGGGCAGCAGTCTAAGCAAGGACTCCCAGACTTCCTTCACCCCAGACACTTCCTCCAGCTCCCTCGGGGGATCCCCAAGGTTTTCCCAGGTCAGCTGAGAGACATAGTCCCTCCTGTGTGCCCTGGGTCTTCCCCTGGGGCCTCCTCCTGGTGGGACATGCCTGGAACATCCCTCAAAGGAGGCACACAGGAGGCATCCGGAATAGATGCCTGAGCCACCTCAGCTGGCTCCTCTCAACGTGGAGGAGCAGGGACTCTACTCTGAGCTCTTCCCATGTGACTGAGCTCCTCACCCTATCTCTAAGGGAGTGCCACCCTGCGGAGGAAACTCATTTCAGTCACTTGTATCCATGATTTTGTCTTTTCGGTCATTACCCAAAGTTTGTGACAGTAGGTGAGGATAGACACGTAGATTGACCGGCTTTAGCTCAGCTCCCTCTTCACCAAACGGTCCGATACAGCAACCGCATCACTGCCTGCACTGCTCCATCTTCCCCTCACTCGTGAACAAGACCCCGAGTGAGGGGAGGATGAAGCGTGAAATTGACAGGTGAATTTTTTTCTTTTAAACAATCCAAATTTCTAATCTTTCTAAAACCCATGTATTGAAGATTGTTGTTATTCCTTTTTGTGTTTATCACTTATCTAACTCACATCACTAAATCTTCAGACTGTAGCACCACCTGGCTTCCTGCCTACTCCCCCAACCCAAACATCTCCACCCATGTGTTCTTCCACCTCCCTCTAACTTTCTATCTGTCCAAGCAGCTTCCTCCTCATATCAATCAAGTTCAAACAATAAGACTGCAGTTGGTCCCTGTTCACCCATCTACTTCCTGGTTTATGGCCTGTTATAGCCTTCCATTCACTGCCTGTCTGCTGGTGTGGCTGCTGCGTGTGCTTGTGTGTGTTTGTGTTTGTGTGTGCGCTGGGAAAGGGTTGTGTGTTGTGTTTTGTGGACACAGATGTTAACATTCAACACTCGTCCATAAGTCCAACAGAATGGCAGATGTGTCCAGGGGGAATAATCTCATTAACTATAAAACACTTGGATTGTCTCTGTTCTGTTTGCTGGTCTTTGATTTCTATTGACTGCCGTACTTGTGAGATGCACGGCTTCCTACGTGGGATTCTGCTTCCTTCTGCAAAATTTATGACATGGTTTAAATACAGGGTAGCGCTAATAAATTATAACATGAGCAAGCTAATTTATTTCAGTGAGGAAATAATAGAATAATAGAATATTTTACCATGCCAAGGTATTTGATAGATGGTGTTAATTTGATCAAAGAGTAGTGGTTGATATTTTTAGCAGAAATGTAAAAAATAAAAAAAATAAAATTGATGTTGAACTTGGATAGCAACTGTGGCTCTGGTTGGGGATGTTTGGGGTACACTTGTTTTGCTAGTTGCCCAAAGACTTTTGTAAGGATTTTTGATATATTTTTATTAATTTGAACTGCTGAATTTTTACTGCTGGGTTGTTATCTGGAGGAGTTGTGGACATTTGCCTGAAAAAGCCATGTTGGAGACCAATTTCCGTTGCAACCTTCAACAAACAACTGAACTTCTATTCTAACATTTCCTTCTCCAAACACAGTGTAAGCCTCGTATAACCGAAATCTATTGGTAATAGGTCTTGCATGGTTCATGAAACTATTGTAATTGCAGCCACAAAGTCAGGCCAGGGACTCTTTTTGTACCAACAGTCTCTTTGAACGCATCATTGAACAAGAACAAAGTCTATTAAGTTATTGGATGACATCTACATCCAGGGAAATGTTTAATTAAACTTATTTAAGATACAACCTCACCGTTATACTTTGTTTTCTTTTTTGCAGACCTTTGGACATTCAGTGCCAGGCAATATTTTCATTAGAGACCAAAGCTAGCAGTGAATGGTGATGGTCACTTTTAAAACTACTTTACATTGAGGAGGTTTGCCCATTCACACGTACATGAACTCAGGTGTTGGGTTTCCATGCTGCTTCATTTCCTGATCTTAAACTTGACCATACTGCCCTACAAAGGCAAAAGGCAGTAACATCATGTTTGGTCATAAATGAGTTAATGTCATTTTGGGGTAGAGCCCGAAGCAAAACAGTGCAGCACAGGACACATTTTGAAAGCTCATTGCGGGCGCGGGCGAGAGCGGGACTGCACAATGCGGGACTGGGCAGGTGGGATGATAAACTGCAGTCCCGCAAACTAAATATGAGAGTAAAATATATAAATGATTAATGTATGCCTATCATGCATAATTTGTGCTGAATATTTTATTTGGCATTAATAAAAAACATGTTAAACAGCTTAAATTTGCAGATGAGGTCTAATCTTGTGCACATTTAGATAATTCCTTTCCTCTTCTCCGTGTTTCATAGATCTTAAGAAAGTGAACATCCCCATCTTGTGGGATTTGCAGGCGGGAGCGGGACAGAATATTGCAGATGCGGGCAGGAGTGGGATTGAAAATTACAATTCCTTGCAGGAGCGGGACTGCACAGTGCGGGTGCAAATTCAGTCCTGTGCAGACCTCTATTTTGGGGCTATCTGAGACCTCCTTTATCATGTGAATAAATATCATGAAAAATATTGAGCTCAAAATTGACCTTTGTCTCAATTTTGAGCTCAATATTTTTTGCATACAAATATTTCTTCATTATAGTAACTAGCTGTCAAATTTTGGGAGCCCTACTTATTATACTTTTGTCTGGACAAAACATAAACTTTGAAGTCATTTTTCTCAGTTTCACACACTGGCGAGTTAAGGTCTTTTGCCTTTGTAGGGCAGCATAGTTACTACCTGCATAATTTTAACCTAGTGTCTTTGAATGCATCACTGAACAGGAACAAAGTCTGTTCATGTTACCAGGAAATGTTAAATTAAACTTATTTAAAGGTGCATTTTTCTTTCAAATGCTTTTGTCCATGGAGATTTTATTGCTTTGTCTGGAATGTTTCACAGTATGGCAGGAGAGGCGACCCTGCTCACAGTCAGAATGCCTATTTTTCTTGGTATTTTTGGTCTATAAAACCACCTGTAATTGAATAAATGTATGGCAGAGCTGTTTAATATCATACTGAGAAATATTTCAGGCAGAGTGAATGACATCTCCATAGAAACAAGCACCTTTAAGATACAATCTCACCTTCATACTTTGTTTTCTTTCTTGCAGAACTCCAGAGCTCTTCGTGTGGTAACCCCGGGGTGCCACCCAAAGCCGTGCTGAGCGGTGGTGGGAAGTTTGCGGTGGGTGATCGTGTCCACTACAGCTGCGTGCCAGGTTATGTTCTAGACGGGCACGCAACGCTAACGTGCATCACAAACGCTGGCAACACGGCGGTGTGGGACTTCCCCGCCCCCATCTGTCGAGGTATGTGGGAAACCTGTGTACATGTTTGCATGGCATGGGGTTGAGTGGTTGTTTTTTACTATGCTGCAATAACATCTTAAAACGTGGCTTGAATTAAAGGATAAGTAAGAATCACCATCTGCAAATGAATACAGCTGTTACTTTACAATCCTTTTGGAGGACATAAGGGCTAGTGTTTCAAATTTAAAGATGCACTGTGTAACTTTTCTGGTGGAGGCCCTGTCTTTGCTTTTCTTGAGGGAGATGGTATTGCTTTGTCTGGAATGTTTCACAGTATGGTAGTTGGCAAAGCAAGTTTATTTGCATAGCACAATTCTTACACAAAGTAATTTGAAGTGCTTTACAGAATAAGAAATATATTAAAATCGCAATACAAACAAATCAAAACATAAATAATCACCATAAAATTAAGAAGAGAGAAGAGTGTAGCCAGGCTGGTGCCACCTTGTGCCTCTGCTCAATTTAATTTCTTAGCGATTGGTTAAATAAAAAAAAAAGTACCCGACTACCATCGAGCGGACAAATCCTAATGCTGCGAGGTCTGACGGTTTCCACAAAGTGATACCGGCTGATGAATCAGGCTAAGAAGAGTGTGGAATGAAAAATAAAAACCTTTCAGTTGTAGGCAGTTTTGAGCCTGGATTTAAACCTTTCTATTTTCATGGAGACCAAACCAGACTAAGTTATAGGTCAGATCTGTGCAGAGGCAACCATGCTCACAGTCAGAATACCTGTTTTTCCAAGTAATTTTGAGCTATAAACCCGTCTGTAATTGAATAAATATAAGGTAGAGCTGTTTAATGTCATACTGTGGAACTTTCCAGGCAGAGCAAGAACATCTCCATCGAAACAAGTAGGTGACAGACCCTCCACCAGAAAAGTTACACAATGCACCTTGAACTATAATGGGCCAAAAAAAAACAAAAATCCTAATTCAAACAAACAAAACAAAAAAAAACAACCTTATTGGCATTTCTTGTTGTGAACTGCATGTTGAGCAGCTTGGCCATGTTGACTTGATTTACCACTTACTTCTCCTTTAAAGCATCCAACTGCAGTTTGAGATGGAAAAACAGACAGATGTGTGTGTGTGTTTGTATGTATGTGTGTGTGTGTGTGTGTGTGTACATGTGTGCGCGGCAGGCAGTCAAAAGAATGTGTGACCCCAATAGTTTATACTTGCACAGTGTTCCTAGTCCCCACCATTTAATTAAAGCTTGTGTGGGTGTAAAAAGCAAAGGCGCAGCATTGGAGGAGCCTATTTTTAGAGTGTGGGGTAGGTGGTGATGGTCGGCGGGCTCGCTGCTGTTTAGTGAGTTTATACTGTACACACTGAGCTTGGATTTGTACATGTTTTCTTACGGACAGCGCCTGAATGTGGGCGTATACAAATCCACTGTCCATTATGATCTGAATCGACAGTGATGGATAATATATTAATTACACTAGAGGGGCCTTAGGGGTCAGAAAACAAAAGAGTTGGTTCAAGAAAATGATCCAGTATACAGTAATTTATTTTCATGAATACTCAACTAACCACATGGAAGGTTACTCCAAATGTGGTGATAAATGGGGTATTGACATTTTTACGGCATTAAAAAAATCCATCTATTTCTTTCTAACCATATGATGTTTGCTTTCAAGTAAAAGATGCAGTATGTAACTTTTCCGGAGAGGGTCCTCAACCAGTTTGTCTCCATGGAGATGTTAATGCTTTGGTTTAAATTGTCCACAGTATGGTATTGAACTAATCTGTCTTGCGTTTATTCAACTACAGGTGCCATTTGTTGCTTAAAAATATCTTAAAAAAACATAAATTCTTACTGTGAGTGGGGTCGCCTCTCCACAAATCTAACCTCTAATTTATCTTGCAAGTCTCCATGGAGATTCTTAAATTTATGGCCATACTGTGGAACATTCCTGGCACATCTCCATGGAGACAAGCAGGTGATGGATCCTCCACCTGACAAGTGACTTTTTTGTCAGTAGAGGAACAGGATTCAGTGGTGTAGTGGGGATTTTTTAAGTGAGGGTATGAGATTTGTGATGTCATTGATGTGACGAGCCCAAAAGCCGTACACTCAACTTGACATGCCAAAATACACACGTGTCATATAGATTGTTTATTAAAAAAAAAAAAACTTTTTATTCAAAATGATGCAGAATCATGTTATTAACATTAATGCTGTTCAGAATCACCTGCAGAACATAAAGCATAGGCTATAACACGTGTCCAGGACTAAACCAGGAATAAACCAGTTCTAAACCAGGTTTAAACCAGGTCTAAACCAGGTCTAAACCAGGACTGAACCAGGACTAAAATAGGACTAATCTTGCACTTGAGAGTGAGAGGGAGAACCCCGAACCACAGAGCAGGATGTCCACAAAGCGCGATTGGGTGACACGGCTGTGCTGAGCCCCATGGCACTGGAGCACTGGTCCTTTCTCCTGCGGTCACCTGACAGTCTACACTGGCGCACCTCCAGGCCCGTCCTGAGACTCAGTCCTGATTCAGTTCTGGTTTAGTCCTGGTTTAGACCTAGTTTAGACCAGGTTTAGACAAGGTTTAGTGCCTGGTTTAGTCCTGTTTTAGTCGTGGTTTGGTCCTGTTCCCTTAAGACAGTACTGCAGATCTCATGAGCCTTTACAGGTCGTTTTCACCATAGCAAATAACTCTGGTTTGACATTTAAGTTGTAGCTATTTTATATCAGTTTTTTTTTTTTTTTTAATATGTATATCTCACATTGGGATTATTTTTGCAAAATAGTGGAGATATTTATTTATTCTGCAAAAGCGAGTACAAAACAAACATTTCTTCACATACACGCACAAAGGATCTACAGCCATAATGCCGTAGCCTTAACCACATGCCCCTGCCCCTATGGACGTGGCCAGTTGGGCATTTAGTGATGTGGAACTTTCTGTATAAATTCCTTGAATACTGAACAGTGTGTGTCAGCAGCATACATGTTAATGGTCCAATGACTGCGGCAAGATCTCTGTGAGTACTGCTGGTATATAGGGGAATGTGTTTTATCATTTAAACATGTAGGGGAAATTCAATATCAGGCAATATTGTCTTTAGAGGCAATAGAGAACTAACAGTTGGTCTCTTTCAAAACTACTTTCATATTTACAATCATAGTTACTGCCAGCTTGACCTTAACTTAAACCCTGCCCTTAATTATTTGTATCTCACCTGAAGTTTAAATCACGTTGGTGATATAATAATGGAGGATTTACATCATGGGAACTGGATTTTAGTTCGCATAAGGGAGGTAAGTGTGAGAGTGTATTGAATTTTTAATGTGCACAATGTGTTAAATACCTGCCCACTCGTTCAGAAATCATTGCACTACTCAGACACTTTGGGGCTCGATCTTGCAGCCCTAATGGGGAAACGCATGTAGTAAGCATAACTTGGCACATTAGAGGCCACGCACTTCTTAAAGCCGTCTTCGTAAATCTGAAAGTGGGACAGTTTTCTGGTGGAAGGCCCATTTTTGCTTTTCTTGGAGATGGTATTGTGTTGTCTGGAAGTTTCACAGTGTGGTATTAAACCTTTCTATCTTCATGGAGACCAAACCAGACCAAGCACTCTCCATTCTGTCACTGCATCGGGAGTTTATAGGAAGTATACAATTTTAATATTTTTGTATTTTGTTCCTGAATTAAAGATAAAATTATCATTGTTGTTTGGTATTGAGTGAGACAACAAAGCGGCTCCTTCATCCACGTGCGCTTGTGCCTTTAACAGCACTCACCTATTTCTAAAATTTTCTTTTTTTTAACTTCATTTTTTCCTTTAGTTTTTATGTCTTTAATATAAATTGCAGTACTTGAACAATTATTTGATCAGACCTAAGAAATGGGTTGTTAAATTCAGACACTGCAGCTTTAAAGTGCACATGACAGATTTTTATGATTCTCTCATTTTGACTTGAATTTGGTGGGATAATACCTGTTGCAAATATAAATTTTAGTTTAGCACAAATCTAGAATTTGCAAAGAAAAGTAAAAAAATGTGTTGAAAATTACAGGAAGTTGAATAATCAGTCCAACGTTTTTACGCGCAAGAAACACTTTTTTATTTTTTTTAACTTAATTTACTTTACATGATTTCTACAAAATAAAGGTGGTTTCTATTTGTATTTGTCGTATAATCATTACAGTGTACATTAGAGTAGTGTTGGGTAACAGTTGTTGAATTCCCCAGTGTGTTGTCACGATTTCCAACCAATTAAACCTAAAAAAAAATGCTTAAGTGGAAAACAAATGCGAATGAGTTTTGGCAAGAATCTGAAATATAATGATTTTAGCTGTGTTCTAGTCAAAAGATTAGTCTAACATGTCATAGGCACTTTAAATCAAGTATCTCATTCCCTCAGTGCTATTCCACACTTACATATTGAGTGAGGAAAAGTCATTATTGTGAAGATTCTGTGTCCCATCTCCCCCTTCCCGACTCTTACTCGATGAATGCTAATACGACACACGCGCCCTGACCCCGCTTGAGTCATCTGACACTAGGCCTGGATTTTTCTCAACTCCAAGTGCTTTCACAGCTCACACCAGCCGATATCTGTGAGTGTGTGAGGGGTGCTAAAATGCCATTTACTAGATTATTTGTCTTCATTCATTCAATCAATCATTCATTCATTTATCTCCCTGATGATCTCTTCAGTTGCTTTTTTGTGGGACTGTAGTACAACAATTTCTGATCTATGTCGTAATGTTTCTCATCACAAACATACCTGGAGTTTTGTTGTTTTGTTTCATTCACACACGTTTAACACGCACATCCGTCATACTCTGTTCCACCTCGTGATGTCATGAGATAATACAGGAATTGCTTTGTTGTTTGTAAACTCCAAACACCTTCACTAGAATTTGAAATTGTTTTAATTAATTATACATCATTGTTGACTGACTTTTTAAAATTAATGTATACCCAGGATATTGTTTGAAATTATAAAGTAGACAGTTTAATTACTTGGCA